AGTGAAGAAAAAGGGACATATAAAAAAGATGTTGTAAAGGCAAAAAACGAAAGGTCTCGACTGGTTCTGTGGAATGAGTGAGAATTAGGAGTTGAGCATGACACTCAGGTTGCCAATGGGGGTGAATGGGAGGATAGTAATCCCCTTGACAGTAATAGGGAAGTTCAGAAAAGGGGAGGATTTTGGAGAAAAAATGACTTCTCTTTTGGCTATGTTAAGATTGAGATGCTATGGGACATACAGTTCAAGATGTTCATACTTTGACTTTCACTCAAAAGAGAAGTATCATCTCTGTAGGTGATTCCCATATATCACCTACAGAGAGATGATAATTGAAGCCATGGTATTTGATGAGGGATATAGCCAAGAAATACAACATAGAGAAAGAAGAGAAGATTCAGGACAGAGACTTAGGGGAGACAGATGCTTAATGGGCATGACCTAGAAGAAGAGCCAGCAAAGGAAACTTTACTGGTGAAATTAAACCAATAACTAGACTTACAAAGTCCTTCCCTACGCAATTTATATTTCATGGAACTCCATACTTACGTTCAATAAGAAAGAGAAAACACACTGTCCCCATTGAAGCAATGATGATACCCGGTACTACAAAAGATAGTCCCCAACATGTAGACACCCAATAGCCAGCGATCAAAGATCCCAAGATATTCCCCACAGAGGTGTGAGAATTCCAAATGCCCATAATTAAGCCTCTCCTGAAAGAGAAGAAAATAAAAAAGCAAGATGGTTACTACATTGCTTAAAAAAGTGAAAATATATTGCAAATATGTGAATTTTTTTTACAATATGTGGTATTTGTGTGTGTTTTCCAAAGAAAAATTATTCATTCAATTTCATAAAACATATAGATATAAAGAGTACCTAAGCAGTTCCAACTATGTAGGTTTCTCAGGACTGAACAAGTTTATTGTTGGATAAAAATGTATTCATTTTACAATTAGCAAAGGTAAAGGAATGCTGGTTAAAATGTTTTCATGGAGTTAAGAATATAAACTAAGGCTTCTGTTAAAAAATACTTATTGAAATTTCCAGCAGGCTGATGGTGATCACCATGACTAGATGATGAATTCCTTGGCCTTTGCAACATAGAAAACAAAGAAAAATACAAGATGGCCCCTAGTCCTGTGTAACCCTCTTCAGTTTTTGCAGAGATAGTGACAGAGTGGTGGGAGGTAGGGACAGAGAGGGTGCTCCTAGAGGAATTGAATCATATAGATATTTACATTCTCACTACAAATGAAATTAGAAGACAAAAGGAATTTGCAATTAATTCATCAATAAATATTAAGCATCTATTATGTGCCAGGCACTGTGCTAAGCCATAGGTAAGCAAAAAAAACCAAAAGACAGTTCCTACTTTCAAGGAACTCACAATCTAACTCAAATCTCACAACAAACAAACAAATATGTGCAATCAAGCTATATATAGGATAAATAGGGCATACTTAATAGAGAGAAAAAATTGAATTAAGCAGAATTAAGGAAGACTTCCTGTAGAAGGTGGAACTTTATTTGAATATAAAGGAAGCCAGGGAACTAAATGGAAAGATGATGTAAAGGTCCTCCTTGGAAAAGCAAGTAACGTTTTTAAGCTACCAAGAGACACTACTTTTTTAGACATTTAGTTAATTTATATCAAAGATGAGCATTTGTAAAAAGATTGCCATAAAGATAATTATAGTTTATTCACCAATATCTACTGTATGAGATAAGATAGTAGAGAAATTCTATGAAGAATTCAGTGAGATCTCTCAAATTAAATGAACTGAAACACTCAATGACTTTGATGCAAAGATGAACATAGGGGACTGTGAAAACTATGGCTCAGGAATTATAAACAAAAGAGCCAAAGTCTGATAGACTAACACAGAAACATCTAATCTATGAATCAAAAACTCTCTCTCTCTTTCTGTCTCTCTCTCTCTCTGTCTCTGTCTCTCTCTCTCTCACACAAACACACACACACACACACACACACACACGTGAACACATAAATTATTGGTAACATATGAAAAGATAGAAAATTCCTGGGCATTATTTCTACATCAGAGTTCTATGAACTGTGTACGATATGAATGTGGGATTGTTATAGCAAAGATCAAAGTCCATATTAAACTCAAATGATAAGAAAAAAATAAGGTATGAAATGAGCACTATTCCAACTTGCCCCATGTAAATAAGATGTTGATAATGAAAAATGGACATGGCTAAAAATGTTGCCATATCACAGATTGTCAACATTTCCTAAGGAAGTTCTATTCATATAAATCAATCTTTGCAACAAGAATAACAAAAGAGTCTGGAAAACACCTTGGATGTCCAACACATGATCACTGTCAAATGGAGAAATGCAGCAGCCAAAGGTAACATCAATTCAGAATATAAACTTACTTGTGAAATTCACAAATATTTCATTTCATTTAAACCAAGAAGCATTTGTAAGAATCTACTATCTGCGCTTCATTGTACTAGTTGCTAGGGGAATAGAGACTCTGACCTCAAGAAACTTACATTCTTAGCCAAGATGGTGGAGTAGCACCTGGCGCTGAGCACTAGCACAAAAAGAGATCCTAGATCAAGTAGAGAAGGGCCTGATGTTGAGAAGGGAGTAGGATCCGATGCCAATTGGCAGCTTTGTCACTCACACTCCAGAGCTGGGTCAAAGATTCAGTGATGATTGATGATGAGGCAGACCAAGGCAGGAGGTTATTTACTGAGAGAGGAGCAGCAGCTATATGGTTCTGATCCTAGAAGCAGAATAAGGTCTCAGATCTAGCTATTAGCCTCATCTGAAGGCTACAATGGAATAACAAGGGCAGGTATTTGAAACCAAATGAGAACCCATAGTTCCGTCTCTCCAAACCTGCAGAGCTTCCTAGCTAGCAGATTGTGGTTAGATGAAACAAGTTTAATGTACTTCCAAACCAGAGGCAACCACAGTTATGTTGGTTAGACCCAATCTGGGTCAGGAGCTTACAAAACTCAAATAAGGAGGACAACAATCAGACAATCAGACATCAGTCTGGATTAGAATACTTTAGGTGCACTAAAAGGTTGTAGATCCCGCACTTGGAGTATGTCTGATATCCCTGAGGTATGCAGCATTCAATAGACAGATAAAAAAAGAATCAAGATTTAAGGGAAAAGAAAATAGAACCAAGCAAGCCCTAGACTTTCTTTCTAGAACTGCACAGAGTTTGACCTTAGTGCAAAGTCCCAAGTATGAAAGTGAGGCTAGAAGAATAAGTAAGCAATGACAACAAAACCAAATCCCACCATGAAGAATGAGTTATGGGGGCAGTTAGGTGGCACAGTGGATAGAGCACCGGCCCTGAAGTCAGGAGGACCTGAGTTCAAATTAGGCCTCAGACCAAACACTTGACACTAGCTGTGTGACCCTGGGCAGGTCACTTAACCCCAATTGCCTAAAAAACAAACAAACAAACAAACAAACAAAAAATGAGTATACCATTCACAAATCAAGAAGAGAATGATTCCAAAACACCACTAAGCAAAGCCTCAATGAAAAACACGTTTGGGCACATGTTTCACTAGAATTCTAGGAATAACTGAAGGAGAATTTCTTTTGAAAAATGATTTAAATGATTTTATAAATGAAATTGGGGCACTGAAAGAAAGAATTGAAAGAAGAAATGAAAGCTCAAGAAGAAGAAAGACTCAGAAATAGAATTCACAGTTTAGCACAAGAGGTAAGGAAAAAAAAATTATCCAAACAACAGATCTTGAAAATTAGAAGGGACCAAACAGAAGCTAATAACTCTATAAGACAATAAGAAAAATTAAAACAAAGTCAAAAGATTTAAAAATAGAAGAAAATGTAAGATATTTTACTTTTTAAAAAGACTTACCAATAAAACGGATCAGGGAGAGATTATTTTAGAATCACTGGACCACCTGAAGGCTAAGACAAAAAAAATCTAGACATCATACTTCAAGAAAGTATAAAAGAAAATTGTCTGGATCTCTTACGCACAGAAAGGAAAGTAAAAAGAGAAAGAATCCACAGATTACTATCTGAAAAAAAACCCTCAAAAATGAAAATTTCCAGGAATATCCTAATTAAAATTCTGAGCTTTCAAGCCAAAAAAATAATACCGCAACAGCCAAAAAGAGAGTATTCAAGTACAGAGGATCCACAGTCAGGATCACATAAAATTTAGCAGCCACAATAAATAGAAGTGGCAAACATGGAATACAATATTCCAAAAGCCAAAAGATACAGGCTTACAATCAAGAATAATTTTCCCAGCAAAACTGGAAAAATTGATATACATTGGAAAATTCAATATAAAAGATCCGGAAGAAATATAAGGAAAACATTAAAGACTAATTATGAGGCACTCACTAAGGTCAAACTGTTTCCTTATTATATATATGAAAATGTTATCAATATTCTTAAAACTGTCATCATTACTAAGGTAGCTTGAAAGAAAGGTTGGGGCTTATTTTTCACAATGGGGTGATTCTAAAAAACAAAATTGGATAGGAAAAGGTAAAAGGGAGAAATTATATTATAAAAATGGGGTGTGAAAGGAAGAACTAATACAGAGGAGGCAGGTCGGGGTGGAGAGCTGGTAATGTTGGAACCTTACTTGCTTCTGGGTTGAGGAGGAAATAACCTGGACATATGGAAGGATGTAGAAGTCTTCTGAACACAGGAAGGTTAGAAAACTGAGGGACAGGGTAGGGAAGGGACATTCAAGGTTTTTGTGGATTGGGATTTGGGAAAGTGGGGGGAGAAAATAGAGGGGACTTTTGGGGGGGTTTGTGGATTGAGATTGCAGGGTGGGGGGAGAGGATAGGGAGACTTTTGGACAGGTGGTGGGAAGGTGGGAGGAGAAGATAAGGTAACAGGGATAGAGTAAAAGGGAGGCTGAGAAAGAAAACAGTGAATAATAATAAGACAGAGGGAAATTCACAAATAGTAATTATAACTTTGAATGGGAATGGGCTATTTATAGCAGCTCTCTTTGCAGTGGCAAAGAACTGGAAATTGCAAGGATCTGAAATCTCAGGAAATTGCAGGGTGCATGGTTGTGATGTAATACTACTGTGCTATAAGAAATGATGAGCTCAGTGATCTTTAGAAAGGCATGGAAAAAGACTTGCATGAAATGATGAAGAGTGAAATGAACAGAACCAAGAGAACATTGTATATAGTAACACTGTATACAGTATACAGTAGCACTATACAGTAATATTGTTTTAATAGTGACTTTGAGTGAGAGGCAGCTCAATGGAACAGTGAATTGATCGCTGGCCTTGGAGTCAGGAGGACCTGAGTTCAAATCCAGCCTCAGATGCTTAACATTTACTAGCTGTGTGACCCTGGGCAAGTCACTTAACCCCAAACACCTCACCAAAAAACAAAAAAATAAAATAAAATCCTTCTAAAAAAGAAAAAGAATGACTTTGAGTGACTAAGTTATTTTGACTATTATAAATACATCAATTAAAAAAAAAAGACATAAGAATGATGCTAACTGCATCCAGAGAAAGAACTGCTAAATAGAAGTATGTATAGAATAATTTAACATCTATATATGCCTATTTGTGTTTAATGGTAGACATCTCTAGGATGGCAGGGAAAGAAAAAAAAGGAAAAAAAAGAAATTTAAATGATTATTGTATGATATATCGTTAGAGGGAATAGCAAATTGTACCTGGTAGATTTGCAGTTTCATGTGCAATCATCTTTTTTGTTATACTGTGTTACGGAAATGCTTATTTTGTTCTACGAATTGAAAATTAAAAAACAAAAACAAAAACTGAATATAATCCTACAGGTGAAAAAAATGGATCTTTAAAGAAACAGAGGACTTTCAAGCATTCCTGATGAAAAGATCAGAGCAGAGCAAAAATCTTCAAATACGAAGTAGTCCAGAGTGACATAAACAGGTAAATGTGAGTGGGCAATTATAAACAAGTAATCAAGGATGAAATGTTTATACTCCAATGGAGCCTATCGATAAAGGTATTCCAGCAGAACTCTAAAATCATCCATGGTCATAGAGAAAGCCAAATATGGCCTGATAATTTGATGAACTTAATAGAAGAAAGTAAGCAGCGATGGGGAAAAGAGTAAACTAGGGGAAAAAAGTGATAGGAAGGGTGTGGGAAATTATCTCCAATAATCAAGATAACGAAGTAGAATAATATGCAAACAAGAAGGAAGAGTTCAGGAGGAGTGAGTGGGTGACATGTGACTTAGACAATCATCATCTTTCCCTCAAAACCCTCCCCCTTTCCAAACTTCCCTAATAATGTTGGGGGTAACATCATCCTCCTATCCTCCAGGCTAGCAACCTAGTTCTCAATTTCTTTTAACCCATCTCCCATATCCAATCTGTTGCTGAGCCTGTCAATTTCATCTTTGCAATATCTTTCAAATACTCTCCTCTCCCATGGTACTGCCACCATCTTTGTGTAATGCCTGTACTAATGCAATAACCTGCTGGTTGCTCTGCCTGCCACAAGTCTTTCTCAACTTTCTCCAGTGTATCCTTCACTCACCTATCAAAATGATTTTTCTCAAGTACATGTTACCTCTATTCAATCAACTCCAGTGGACACCCCCTCTCCCCCATTAGCTCCAGAATCAAATGTGAAACTCTCTGTTTAGCATTCAAAGCCCTTCATAATAATGTAGGCTCTTTTCCCCACCTTTCCAGCCCTACACCTTACACTATTCCACAGATTCTTCAATCCTGTTACACTGGTTTCCTTGCTGTTCCTCAAATAAGACACTTCAGTTTTGGGGCTTAGAGCATTTTCGCAGGCTGTCTCTCATGTTCGTTATGTACTCTTTCCTCCTCTCTACCTTCTGGCTTTCCTGGTTTGCTTCAAGTCTCAGCTAAATTCCCACTTTCTACAAGAAGCCTTTTCTTATCCTTCTTAATTCTGGTGCCTTCCCTCTGTTGATTTTCTCCTGTCTATCCCACATATGTCTTGTTTATTCATAGTTGTTTGCATGTTCTCTCTCATTAGCCCTCATTAGGTTGAGAGCTCCTCAAGTGCACAGATTGCCTTTTTCTTTTTTCTTTTTTTGCTTCCCCAGTGCTTATCACAGTACCTGGAGCATAGAAGGCACCTAATAAATGCTTACTAACTGACTGATTTGAACTTCACTTTCATCTGAACAAGTTAAAGGAAGGAAGAATATACACAAACACTTTTTGGGGCAGATATACAATTAATTCTTTAAGGAAACAGAAGGGAAAGGAGAGAAGTGAGAAGGAACAAAAAAAAAGGAGGGTAGAATAAGGAGTGGATTATTCATAAACAAAACAAATTCTAACTAAGGAGGATAGGTCATGAAGAGGTTTGAAAAGGACAGAAACAAAGGATTAGAACCTGTGATTGGGCTCTAGTGAGAGAAAGAGGAAGGGAAGGGTGAGGGAACAAAAGTGGAGGGTAACAAACTTCAAGTAGTAGTGCTAAGCATAATCCTCACTATCCTTGGGAGTGGGAAACAAAGAGATGGGAAAATATAAGAAAATAAGATTAAGTTAAAAACACAATTAACAATTTGATTATAAAGTGAATGGGATTAGTTTTCCCAAAAAATGGAAGGGTATAGCAGAACAGATTAGAAAGCAAAGTCTGACAATATGTTGTTTATGAGAAACACACTTGTATCATAAACATTGACACATTTAAAATAAGAGGCTAAAGAAACAGTCTATTTGCTTCTGCTGAACTCAAAAAAGCAGTGATAGCACTGATAGTCTCACAAAAAACAACACCAAAAATAGACGATTAAGAGATAAAGAAGAAACTATATTATGTTGAAAGGCACCATAGACAATAAATTAATAATACTAAACATGTAGTTACCGAATATCATAGCATCTAAATACTGAAAGCAAATGTTATGAGTTACATGGAGAAATGGATACCTCACAGTCCTTTTCCTATGCCATCACCCTACAGTGGCTACTCTCTGTTCCCTTCCTCATCTTGATTCCTTGGTGAACCAGTTCAGTCCTATACTGTTCTCTTCTCTCAAGTCCCTTGGCCCCTTCTGGTATTGTCAGTCTTGCACTGCCATGCCTCAGTCTTGAATTACTCCCACCATGTGTTGCCTTTGCTGCTACTCATATACTGCTGAACAGAGCTGGAAAAAAGTTCATAAAACATATATTGATTGGGTCCACTACAAATTTATGCTATATTATAACTTTAACCGGACCTTTCTGCTTCAAGGCAATCTTTTTAGAACTCCCTTTCCCATTTACCACAGTACCTCTTCCAAATCTTTTCTTCCTTTTGCAAATGTCCCATGGCTCCCCTCTCCCCACCCTCTCAGCTAGGAAACTTGCTTCATATTTAACTGAAAATATTGAGGTTATTTCCTGATACCTCCCTCTTCTCCTCTACCAGTTACTTCACATCATTCAGATGACTTCCCCAATTTTCTCCTCCTTTACCCCTGTCTCACATGAAGAGGTGGCCCTCCTTCTTGCCAAGGTTAACCCACATGCCCAAATAATCAATCCCATTCCATCTCATCTTTTCAAGCAGATTGCCCACTCTATCATTCCTACTCTCATACTAATTTTCAATTTCTCCCTTGTCTATTGGTTCCTTCCCTACCACCTTCAAATATACCCATGTCTCCCTATCCTCAAAAAATCCCCTCCTTTTCTGTCCATTTCCATTAGATTTCATCTTACATCTCTCCTCCTTTCCATGGCTAACCTATTTGAGAAAGCTATCTATAATCAGTGCCTCTACTTCCTTTCCCTCTCCCTCTCTTCTCTTCAACATGTCAGGAATGGCATCATTCAAGCCAGACAGAACTGCTCCCTCCAAGGTTTCCAGTGATCTCTTAATTGCCGAACTAATAGCCTTTTCTGTCTTCATCCTTCTTAACCTCTCTGCATCCTTTGATGATGCTGATCATCCTTTCCCCCTTAACATTTTTTTCTTTCTGGGTTTTCCTCACATCTCCTGTTTCTCCTTCTACTTGTCTGACCACTTCTTTTTAGTCTCTTTTGCTAGATCTTAAGCCAAGTCATGCCTAATAACCATGGGTGCCCCCTAGGCTCTGTAGAGTGTCCTCTTCCCTTTTCTTTCTTTATTTTTAGTGATCTTATCAGTTCCCATGGATTCAACTCTTAATTAATTATACATGTCTTGTATACTCCTGCCCCTCTTCTAACATGCCATAATGCTAGTGCAGACCCTTATCACCTCAGTGCCTAAGCTATTGTTTAGGCAATAGCCTGCTCATTGGTCTTTCTCCCTCAAGGCTCTCCCCACTCCAATCCATTTGCCATTCAACTATCAAATTGATCTTCTTTAAGTGTGGGTTTTGTCATGTCCCTCACTATTCAATTAAATCCAGTGCTCCCTAGCTAATTCAGAACTCTTATTCATATTGTAGCAATCTCCCTGTGTTGGTCTTTGGATGGGCTTGATTAGATAGTCTTATACATGGAGTGTCCTTAAAAGTTCGATTCAGGTTTCATCTTGCCTGTGAAGTTTTGCCTGATATTTCCCTGGTGGCTCTCTTAAACTCTCCTATGGCACTTTGGTCTCCATCATCCTCCTCTTCTCCTTTCATTTTCCCTCCCCTCTCTTCCTTCTCATTATTCTCTCTCTCTCTCTCTCTCTCTATTTTGTACTCCCAGTGAAAAGCCCCATTGAGAGCAGGGACTATTTTGTTTCTGTCTTTGTGTCCCAACAACTTAGCACAGTATTTTACGCAGAGTAGGAATTTCATTTATTTCTACTACCTTCCTTTTCCAAACCAGTTGCCAATGCAGGTCACCACACTAGGCCAGCCAGTGGTCTGCACCAACCCATTAGCTATCTGGGAAAAAAAAAGAAGAAAATGATTTATCATAAGGTTATTATCTATTTTTCCTAAATTCGGGCATGGGGTATAGCTTGTACTTGTGTGCAGTATGGGAGAAGACTTGATTTCAAGTATATCTTTTAGGAATTTCTAATTGGTCACTGAGATACCATCACTGAATTTGAAAATTTAGACAACCTTTCTTAGTGTTTGGAAAGGACTCTGGGCTTAACTTGCAGTAAGTTTATTTTTTAGTAATTTTAGTAAGTTTATTATTAAGTGAGCTTAATAAATGTTTGTTTAATGTTAAATTAAACAGATTTTCTTTGTTTTGTTTTTTGTTTCTGCAGAGTTTTGTCTTTTTGTTACCAAGTTTAAAATGTTATCAAAATATTATCAAAACTGTTTCCTCTTTCTAGGAAGTCCAAAACCTACACTAGGTGAGTCTCTCCCAGTATACTGTTGCCCCAAAAGCATTCCCTGGAACTGTGTGCATCTTGGGCTTATTTGGATACAGAGCGATCTCTGAGAACTTAATATCAGTATCAATATCTATTTTAGAATATAGTCACTTTTAGAGCAGGGACTATGTTGACTCATCTTGTTTTGCACACCACCATAAATTTGGGCCCATTATTTAATAAAAAGCTTCTAGATTACCAGATGCTTAAACATAAAAATGCTCAAAAAGTAAATGATTATTCTATGTTAGAACAGTGATTTTAATCCTACAATACATTTGGTTTTACGAAGCAATTACCTTCAGCACTCAAAGACTGGCAACTAAAATCAACAAAAAGGACTATATGGGATAAAAATGAAAATCAGATAGGATACTTTGATAATTTTTTCTGTTCATTTTAAGTAGAAAACCTATGAACTTAGGATAAATACATTATACACACATTCAAACACACATATAAATTAATGCATATGTAATAAAAATTCATAGGATTATAGATTTAGAGATAAAAGTTCCTTAGTGACCATGTGGTCTAAAGCCTTCATTTTATAGTTCAGGTACTGAGGCCAAGAGAAGTTCAGTGATTGGCCCATGGTTGCATAGCTATAGCAAGTATCTGAGGTGGGATTCAAACCCAGATCTTCCTGACTCCAAGTCTAGCAGTTATGGTTGGACATATAGTGTTGGATTTTCTTCTCCTTTGGTTGCCGAATGTGATTTTACTACTTTCACTTAAAAATAGCAATGATTTAGGTTACCTAGGAGGCAGTTTGTCCATGATACCAATACTAATATTTCTCAGAAGCATGACTCGAACACCAGGGTTCCTGACTCTAAGAACAGGAATTATATTCACACCATACTCTCTCTCTGTCAATAAACACATACAAACAAACACACACACACACATACATACACATATATAAACACATACATGTTTGTGTGTATATTTTTATTTTTAAAATTATTATATATTATTAGGTTATATGTGTGTGTGTGTATGCATGTATACACACACACACACACACACACACATACATGCACTTTAGGGAGATCAAGCTAAGGATGGATGGGAGTTGTGTGGGTAAGAATTTGAGGCAGGGAGACTAGTAGGCTGTTGGATCAGTCCAGATGTGAGATGATGACTTGCATCAGGGTGGTTGCAGAATTTAAGGAGAGAAGGGGACGTATGCAAGAGAAGTTACAGAGATAAGACAGCGTATGATAAATGATTGGATATTGAGAGTGAGAGAATAAGGAATTGGGGGTGACACCGAGATTGCAAGCATGAGATGGTGGTACTTTCAATAGTAATCAGGAAGTTATAAAAAGGGAAAAGTTTGTGTAAAACTATGATTTCAGTTTTAGACATATTAAGTTTAATTTGTCTAAAGGACATCCAATTTGAGATGTCTAATACGCAGTTAGAGATGTAAGACTAGAGATTAGGAGAAAGAGAAAGGAATAAAAATTTATTAAGTGAATACTATGTGCCAGGCATTGTGCTAAGCACTTTGTAAATGTTATCTTATTGATCCTCACAACAATTTTCTGAGGTAGGTGGTATTATTATTCCCATTTTGAAAGGAAGGAAACTAAAGCAGAAAGACATTAAATGATTTGCCCAAGGTCACAGCTAGTAAGTGTCTGAGGTCAGATTTGAACTCAGGTCTTCCTGACTTTAGGGTCAGTGCTCTATTCACTGCTCTACCTAGTTGAGGTTAGTGCTGGACAAGTGAATCTGAGAGTCATTTGAATAGAGATGAAAACTGAAACCACAGGAGCTGATGAGTTCGCCAAATGAAATTGTATAGAGGAAGAAAAGAAGAAAGTCTAAGGACAGACCTTTGGGGACCCCCATAGTGAATAGACATGATATAGATGATCCAGGAAAGGAAACAGAGAAGGAATGTTCAGATAGGTAGGAGGGGAATATCATGGAGTTTAAGGAGAGAGAAGTATCATGAAAACCTAGATAGAAGAGAATAACAAGAAGTGAGCGATGGACCATATCCAAGGCTGCAGAGAAGTTAAAAAGTATGAGGACTGAGAAAAAGCTATTAAATTTGGCAATTAAGAAATCATTAGTACCTTCAGAGAGAACAGTTTAGGTTGGATGATGAGGTCAGAAGTCAGACTGCAAAGAGTTAAGAAGCAAGTGAGAAGAAAAGAAATGGAGGCACTGGTTACAGAAGGCCTTTCTAGGAATTTAGCCACAAAAGGGAGGAGAGATATAAGACGAAGGGTAGTGGGGATGCATGGATCAAGTGAGAGACAGGAGAGACAGGCACATTTTTAGGCGGTAGAGAAGCACTCAGTGGACTGAGAATGATTGAAAATTAGTGAGAGGGTAGAGATGACAGAAGGGACAATTTTCTGGACAAGATGGGATGGAATGGGATCATTTGTTCATGAAGAGAGGTTTGCCTCCTGCTCTTTCAACTCCATGTATCCCCTCTCCCAAATCAAAGCACTCAATTCCTAATACTTTCCTGCTAACTCTAAGAGAAAAACAAAATTATAAATTAATGCACATAGATGTGGCTACATTACTCCTTTGCCATAGGCCTCTTCATTTTAAAAGAAGTTCCTTAGGGGCAGCTAGATGGCACAGTGGATAGAGCAATGGTTCTGGAGTCAGGAGGACCTGAGTTTAAATTCGCCCTCAGACACAGAACACTCACTAGCTATGTGACGCCGGGCAAGTCACTTAACCTCAAATGCCTCACACACACACACACACACACACACACACACACACACACACACACAC